CATGGCCATTCCTCCAAGTGCTATTCCTCTTAAAAGGATTCAACAGAGTGGGATCCCTGAAGTCTGAGCGCATCTTTGCTCTGACTAGAGTGGCAGAAATACCCCAGTGCTGAGGGGAAAACAGGAAAAGCCTTTCCAGGCTGTGCTGAAAAACTGAAAGTTCATTATTGACAATCCCTTACAAGAAGCAAGTGGCTAACAGTGCAAATATAGAAGAACGCAAGGAAGGATAATACCTGGAGTAGTTCCATATCAAATAGTTGCTCACAAATCAATAGGCTGCCTCAGGTCCATTTTCTAGATTGTTCTTCTTTTTATAAGCTACAGACACAAATCCCCACAAAGCTTTCTCCCTCCCCAAAGACAACATTTTCTGAACATAGAATCCTTTTATCGGTGCTTTGCCAAAAAGCATAAACAAGATGACATCGAGTTATATATCTGCTAGATCAGATCTGAGAAAACATTTCCAGCAAAGTTATCATAATTCATCTTTCTCTTAAAAATATGAATTTTGCTGCACAATTCTGTGCCATAAAGCCATGTAAGATAACCATCCAGTTAGGCTGGGACTGTCCAGGTTCAAGGAAGGAACTGTGGTTCAGAAATAAAGGAGGAGGGGAATTGCAATTTTACCTGAATCGTCCACTCTCAGCTTCTTGTTACTGGGGTTTTCACTGCTGTCATCATCAGACATTTCCATTTCTTCCTCCCGCCTGATCCCCATGAGCTGTTCACTGTGAGCGTTCCTGAGTTCCTAAAAAATGACAGAAACCAAACCTTATTTCGTTAGTCCTGGCTGAGATATATTCCAATTCCTGAAGTCAATTCACTCCCTTTGAAAGTGCTACATACCATTTGTCCCCTTAACTTGAAGAGCGTTTTAGTGATTCTGCTGGAGGTACATTATTGATGTGCAGTTTTCAATTATGATGCTCTGCTTTGGTGACATTAGGTTTACGTTCCACACTAATTTGATTTTTAGGATGAAGATGTTAACATAAACTGGAATACATTTCCATATACCCTGATAAAGGCATGGTAAAAAATTTAAGTACTACAGACAGAAATGATTTGGGGGGGGGGAAAGCTTTAAGAGGCTTCTACCTTATCTTACCCAATATCCTTCCGATTTTGAGTGAAGGGTGGCAGATTGAAGTGGGAAGAAAAAAAGAAGAGTATGGAAAATTTCTTAAGGCTGTTTTAGCTTCAGCCAAAATATCTAGCTAGGACATTTAAAGTTCTCCACTGGAAATCTTAAGTTCTTCATCCAAATGACAAAAATGCTGCTCCGAGGCATGGCCAAAGTGAAACAGCACTGGGAATAATAATCTATACGAGGAGATGTCATTCATCTAATTATTGTACGAGATGACCTTTAAGTTTCAAATGACTAAAAAAAAGCTCGGTTTGGAAGTTATGGCAAGAACAGATTCCGTTCTGGGACGTTAAGGCAGAAGTGTTTCTTTAATATTGTGCCATCTGAAAGTTTGCATCATTTTTGAAATAAATTCTTCCTGTTTAATGTGTGACCTTACCTATTTTGTCTGACCTTGATGGCGAGGAGGCAGGGCCCAGAGCTCCACACAAAACTGTTCCAAAAATTAGTTCATATCAGACAAACCTATTACTGTACCAGAGAGATGAAGGCCTCAGGCTTATGTACATTTATGAAATAAATGTTGGGGCAGAATAGCCAATCTTCGGAGAAATTACCGATGGAAAGACAGCAAGCTAATGCAAATGGTGTGTACATTGCTCCAGACAAACACAGATTGCTTTTTTTCCCTTCTCAGAAAAGCAGGTGCCATTAAGCCTACCTTCCTTAATGGTGGCACAAGGAAGATTGAAGGAATTCTCTTTTACCCTAATAATACTGTCAGGTGGAACACAAGGATATAGACCAGTGATGAGTGTAGCACTTTTTGGTCCACAGACAGCTAATTTTTTGACAAAAAGCCCAATTCCAAGGGAGGTGGTTTAAAATCTTTGAAAGAAGAAAAAGAAGTCACTTCTGAGAAATAAGTGCTGCTAAGAAACGTGCTATTTATTCCTTGCAATTAATGAGCAACTCAAATAATATGTTGGAGAGATGCATCCAGTGTTCATCAATAAATTTAATCCATTATCATATGGGTGTGTGCAGCCTTAATCACAACAGCGCTGCTGAAGCTGATGAATGCAAGTTTTACATACGAGACCTTGGAAACTCAAGAATATTTCTCACATTATTTTTTTAAACAATATTCAATGGCAGGGCTGCCCTAATAAATCCAACTTGTATTTTGTTCCAAAGACATCAGGAACTGTTTGGCACAAACAACATGTCTGTTCATCTCAGATAGAATCACCTAGAGTGTAATACACATCTATGTCCCCCATGATTCCAACTTCTTAAGAATGGTGGTCACTCTCACATGGAGACAGTTATAAGTAACTGCCTGATTAGTTAATAGCAGAGCTGGACATCTTTCTGGGAGCCATGTGCCATGGGGTGGCAAGAGGGCTGTGAAGATGATGTGACTGGAGTAGATGAGGCCATTGGGGGGGAGTTTGAACATGCACAAAGGGAGAATTTGCTTATTAGTCCACCAACAGGGGAAAAATGTGAAATCTTTAGGTGTAAAGTGTTACCCTAAGGCTCTTGAAGACTTAAAATACTCTTTTCATCCCAGTAACTACCTCCAAACCTCCAAAATACCAAGGAGGAGGAGGAGGAGGAGGTGGTGGAGGAAGAGGAGGAAACCAAAAATGTAAGATCTGCTCAGCACAGGGCTGCTCAGAGGGACACAAAGGGAATGCTAGGGGCCTCCATATTTCTGCCCATTTCTGCCTTCCATTGAGCTAGACACTTGATGTATTTAGATTTGTGGCTTTCATCAGTTACTTGAAGCAGCTCCTAAGATCTTGGATTGATGATATTTTTCAGATCAGGTCCCTCATATCTTTCATGTGTTTTTTCAGCAAAAAATTACCCCCTCCCTTAATTCTGAGCCATACTTGTTGTTTATAACCAAACCTTTCCAAAGCCTTTATAATAATGCAGTGTTTCTCAACCTTGGCATAATGACACAGTGTTAGAGTGAATGAAATAGAGTAATTGCTCTACTTCATGCTGTATTGTCTTATCCTAGTCCTAAGCAAAGGTCTGGGATTATTTAGCTGGGGATAGCAACAACTAATACTGAGGTCTTTTGCAGAGTCTGAATAAGACCTGATAGAAGTAACCACAACAACAAGCCATGGAAGAGTTATGTCAGAAGAAATAATGGAGAATGCAACTTGAATAGGAGCCTCTAAGCCAGTATTTCTCAACCTTGGCAACTTTAAGACATGTGGACTTCAGCTCCCAGAATTCCCCAGCCAGCCTGCTGAAGTCCACATGTTGCCAAGGTTGAGAAACACTGGTTGAAGCTAAGGGAGCCATAAGTATCTAACTGACTTTTGGAACTTGGAAACATTGCCTTGGGACTTCTACTTACTTGGAAGATTCACCAATCCCACCCTTTCATTTTGAGGTGAAATGGAAGATTGTCAAAGAGGCCACACTAGTTGCTTCTAGGGATGCAATGAATTTTGCCACAGACTTGATTAATGTGAATTTTGGTGTGTCATTTGTTGCTGCTGCTGTTGTTCTCGGTGGATCTAAGATAGGACAAATACCAATACAAACAAGGTCTGGCTAGAATGTGTCTTCCCTTCAACAAACCTGACTTGTTTTTGAAAAAAATGCATTGTGGGCAAGGCTTTTCCATCTTTCGACATCAAAAAAAAGTCCCCTGGGCTCACACTGTCTGCGTAATTAATTGCATAGTCATTCCAGGAAGTATTGCAGGAAGCACAGCTCCTTCTATATTTTGAAAAGTAAGACTAATATTCTGTCTCCCTCAAGAGACCATGCATTTTGCTCTGGATTTCTTATTAACATCTGCTCTGCAAATCAATAAAACAACCCAATTTACACTGATCCACAAATCTCCAACAACTTCCTAGGCACGCAAATCAAACACCTTTCCATTCATACAGCAGCATTTTGGAAGCCCCTGGTTCGGTATAAAGTCACCTTCTTTAGCCTAAGGCCTTCCAGAGTTTTTTGCCTGCAATACTCCTACGTCCTCAGATAGAGGCCTGATGGTGCTCGGGAATGGCGGAAGAGGAGACGTGTACATCAATCATGGGAAGAGCATTTGTTTTACAGCTTTATTACTTTTAAAAAGAGAACAACAAAGGACAAGGGAATAATAATCGTTAAAAAATCAAGGATGTTTTGTAGATATACAAAAATAGAATGCCTTTTAATGCATTGTGGCATATTAAATATTTAAATGTTAAGAAATTAGTTCCCGTCCTGAATATTTTCAGTGTGTGTGTGTGTGTGTGTGTGTGTGTGTATCTCAATCAGATAAACTTCAATGTTAATGGATCTATTCAATATTAGGAAAATAGCAGCCTGATTAATAAAATTCCTTTGCCTTTTTTTTTTTTTTACCACTCAGGTGAATTCATTTATGAATAACCCCAGAAAATTTTGCTCTTCTAAATTAGGCTTGCATTATTATAATGGAATCTATTGTAATACACTCATAATCTACATCATAATAGCAATGATAATAAAAAAAATATTTTTAATTCATGCAGACATTGCATCCAATGGCTTCAGTATTCAATCTATTATTTGTTCAGGGCACTCCAAATGTTGGCCCAATGGTTTGGACCACAGCACAATTTTATCCTGGAGGCATGCAACACGGTTGTTATAAGCAAGATACAAAATAATTAAATAAACGCCTCTTACCTTCTCAGAGCTTTTTTGTTGTTAGGCAAGGAAACATTAAAAGGACTGTGGTGCTAACAATGCACCGACAGAGCACTAAGCAAATGAATGCATGCACACTACCATTTTAAAAATCAAACTGAAGGGTTGGGGTGGGGAAACAGTTCTCACTTACTTTACAACAGAAAGTAAGGTATGACACATGCCAGGTTGTAAGTGAAGCATGGCTTTCAAATGTAATTCGTATTGTGGCACAGAGAAGCCAAAAAAGCAGATGCTCAGCCAATTTCTATCTATCTCTATCATCTATCTGTCATCTATCATCCATCCATCCATCCATCCATCCATCCATCCATCCATCCATCTTCTATCTCTTGGTAATAAAGGTTGTCAATTTGGGTCATTCTGGTACCAGTGAAGGACACCAGGGAGACAATGGCCCCCAGGACTGGCTCTCACACTCAAAGGACAGCTGGCATGTATCTAGGAGTGAAGCCCACAGAAACCCTTTATTCATTGGAAGGATATAGCTGTTACATACTTTTACAAAGTGCCCTGATCCCAATAATCATCATTTAAACATGGTATTAAGCCTGCTGCACGGATCATAACACAATCCAGTCCACAACTAAGCTACAATCAGAAAGCAGGAAATAATCTACATGCAGAGCACATAAGTCAAAGAAAATGAGTCAAGCCACATTTGCATAATATGGTCAATAAATTAAGCATGTAGGAAACTCTCTCTCTGTCTCTCAAAAGGGATGTAGGAAAAGCGATTCCTCTTCCTCTTGATTTCTCATCATACACATGCACTGAACAAAACCCAGAGGACCAGGCTGAGATTGGATTTGCTTTTCCCTTCTTTCGTACCTCCACTCCCCCAAATCTGACTGTTTCTGGTTCTCCTCTATTGCTAAACGTAATCAAGTATTTAAACTCAGGATGTATCTCCTCACTGGTCCTGGCTACTGCTCCTCCCGAGGCAGGTAAGCAGACAGATGTGGCTAAGTATGGCAGGTTGAGAGTTTGCTCTGAGCAGAGCAAGGCCAGGAAGCTGAACTAAAAGTAGCAAGTAAGATCAACTAGGTAGACCTGTAGGTAGTCTAGCTGTCTAGGTAGACAGCTGGTTTGATTCCTTCTGATTCCCTACCTTCCTCCTACCAGGGGTGTCTCCAGGGCACGTGTCAAAATTGACAAGATGGGGACAAGCATTGAAGTGCAGACCCCATACCTTTTGTACCAGCATCACACAGACATTCAAAACGGGTGAGGTTCCCACCACAATACTCCATCTACCATCTTGCCAATGTTGATCCTCTTCCTGCAGATGCTGCTGACTTCTACCATTCTGAGCTGTTCAAGTCCCTGGCTTAAGATGCAGTAGGCAAACCTTGAAGAAAGACAGCATTTAAGCATGGCACCTGGTTGAATTTCATCCGCCTTGGAAGGGTGAGGAGTGACTCCTAACCCTATGAAGTCTACAGTTTTTATTTTTTATTTTTTTTAATAAGGCCAGGAAATATCATACTCTCTCCCCAAATAGTAAGAACTTTCTTCCCCACTTCCACAAGGCTGTAGGATTAGAAAGCAGTTTTCTTCTGCTGTCTGACTTCAAGAAAATCTTTGGAGCTCCTAAATTTTGCTATCACTTCATCAAGAAAAATACAGCCTTGATAAGGCTTGAAAGATTAAAAAATGGAATTCCCACTGCAGTGCACTATTCTATACATTTTGGATTGTGGCCCTTTAAAAATATTCACTTTTATTTTCTCAAAGGTCAAAATGGAGAAATTGCTTTGTCCTTTCTAAGCTAATAATCTGGTTTCCTACATTTCCTTAAATGTAACATTATTTTGTTATGAATATTTATGATGAAGAATATTGTCCAAAACAATCTGCTTTGTCCAATATTTTTGCCTGCTTTTGGACAATATTGTGATGAAATAAATTAATTTGAGCATAAATCAAATCCAGGACTGCAACATGAATGTTAAAGTGACGTTGCTAATTCTCTCAATTAGTCATTTTAGTCGAAGGAATATTCACTCCAAAGAGTTCCAGCTGTATAAACTCTCACAGAGGCTCTAGAAACAGTCCTTAATTACTTCTCCATTCTACAAATACAAATGCAGCAATTAAAGACTGCTGAACAAAGCACAATCAGCTACAGGCCCCTTTGCCTTCCCCTTAGTCCAAGGCTGTGAAATGATGGATAAAAGAGACAGAAAATTCACCCACCTCAGAGTGTTTGCGCCAAATGTCTATGTTCTTCCGCTGAGCTTTCGAGAAATGGTCCCAAGCTTTTTGTCTGGTGGAGGCGTTGAAAACGGCCACAATCTGCTCAACTTTGGTGAACAAGGAAGTCAAACAAGACAAGCAATTTATGTTGTGATCACTAAAGGAAAGCCAAGCAAAGACATGAGGAGTCTACGGATGATGCCACTGCTGGAACAACATCATCAATCCATCCAATCATGTGTCTTTCTGTACTTACATTTCAAAACTGTCAGAGGTGTCCTCCTTCAAGCCTCTCTTCATAACTTTAGTCTATACCAGTTGCACATTGATTACTGACAGATTTGCATGCAATTAATTGTTTGTTGTTGTTGTTATTACTGACTTGTTTGCATGGGATACTAATTTAAGAGAGAAACCATAGGAAACAGATTTGTATCTTCTGAAGCTACAATCCTGTTGATTTGACCTAGGAGCATGCCCCAATGAACTCAGTGGGACTTCCTTTTTAGTAGACGTGTATAAGATTATACTATCATTGAAAGTGTTAAGGAAATTTCCAAATTGGAACTTGAGTTAATCCAAAGAAGATTGAATATTCATTTACCTTTCCCTTTAAATGAAGGCTTCTCATTTCATCTCCCATGTTGGCAAATGTCTTCCATGAAACATTTTAAGCCTGCTTATCCCTCTATACAACATAATTTGCAAACTCCAGATCTACTAAGTGAACTTACGATTTTACAGACCCACCAAAAGTTAAATATGCATATTACTAATTTACATGAGAAACATGGGAGATTCTAGAAGCCAAAATCTACCTTTCAAATCATATTCTTTTCTTCAGTTCTTTTATTCTTATGTTCCCTCCCTCTCTCCCTCTCTCTTTCTTTGAGACATTACATTTTCAAGTCAAAAGATAACATTTGTGGCTGCCAAGCAACTGTAAATGAAATGTCACTCAGGCCTTATAAGTAACTAAAATAAAAATATTGCAAATCAAATTCTGGAGCCCCACAGTTGACAGATTCACTAGAGGAGCAAACTGTGTCAGTCAATTCAGAAAATGTTTGTCTTTCATTGTGGCAAAGGGATCATCATATCTGCAAATCTAAGAGAAACTCTTCTCTGGAAAGTGAATTCTCTCCTCTTTGCACCAACAGGACTCTAGTTTGTGTTACTGCTGCAACAGTAAATTTTTATCCTTCCACTGTTTTTAGTTATGATCTGACGAGCACTCATGATTGCCTCTGTCTCTGTGTTGTGTATGTTTGTTTAGGAAGGTTATTCTGGACCTACCTGAAGATCTTTTGCTTGAACTATGGATTGGGCAATTTGAATTTTACAAACTATTTGCAAATTTAAATTCTGTACTATCCCCTATCTTGGTTCTTAATAGTGACCACTGACTTCTCTTATTTCCCCAAGTTTAACTTCTTTTTTTGGAACTGCTGAATATAACAATCACAGCTTGTGTAACTCTAAAGTTTATGCCTTGTGTTATAAGTTTAAAGCCTACTTAGATTTAAAATGGGCCGCTTTCAGCTATATTTCTACTTTCTCATCTCCTTTTTCCTGCTGACTCTATTGTCTTACCTTACTGTATCAAAAATAGATGCCTTTCCTAAGGAATTAAAACTCTGCCTTTTCTACTATAGGAAATCCTCCCAGCATCAGCCCTATAAAACAAGTCTGGTATCTTCCACAGGAAAAAAAGGATGACAATTTCTACTTCTACAAGGAAGGAATTGGTTCTTCTTATGCCATCAGCATTAAAGGAATACCAAGAGGAATACAGAAGGTGTATCTGCAAGAAAGGGTGCAATACCCTCCTTCACAATGTCTTTTTCTGGTTCCCAGGGCTGGGGTGCTGGATAACTTTTCCGCCACTTTAATGTTTTGAAAGCATTCCTGGAAATAACTGATTATAATACGGCATTCAACCAAAATATATAATGGAGGGTTTCGGTTTAGTGCATCGAAGATACATGCAAGATTTAATTTAATTTATTAAACTTGTATGCTACCCAACTCTCAACAGTTCTGGGCGGCTCACAACAATCAAAGAAATTGCAATAAAATCAATTAAAAAAAATAAAGATAAAAGATGGCAGGCGTGATGAAGAGAGATACTTTACTGCCTGTTCCTCTTCCTTCTAGCATATATGCAGAGGCCAGTTGGGGCAGCGTTAGAGGAGGACTGATGGAAAGGGGACAGACACCTTAGGGGCCAGAGCAAGTTCTGTCCACCCACACCTCTCAATACCCCAATATCAACTGTCTGTGACAGATACCTAAGGTGTGCTTCATGTTACAGCTTGCCCTAGGCACAGTGAATCCAACTGCTAAATGATGTACCAATTTGCATATACTTAAGATTCAAGTTTTGTATTTCATAACCTTATTAAATTAATTGGAATAAGTATAGGAGAATATGAAAGGGTTATCACTAAGGAATCTATTTTATTAACAATGTAATTTAGATTCTAATCATTCTTCTGTTGTACCTATTACAAGGGCAAAGAGCACTGAACTTAATCAACAATCTGGGTATAATTAATTAATGGCAGAAGGCTCAAGTAGAACATTTTCTTGAAGATGCAAGAAAAAGGTGCGTTACCATTTTTAGGCTACTTTAAGTGGGTATATTAAACGCTGAAACTCTTGAACTTTAAAATGTCTGACAATGAAGATAACTCAAAGTTCTAACTTCAGGTCTCAGCATCAATTCTAAATCCTTATTCAGTGCTAGAGCGCTCTAAGAAACTGGTACAGGTTGATATGTTTGTTCTAAAAATATAGGAAAGAGAAGCTAAATATGAGTTCACAGGTAAATATCTCATTAAGAAAAAAAGTATATACCCAATTTTTAAAATTTAAGCAGGTAGTCCTCGGGTAGTCCTCAGAATAGGAACACTCATTCAGTGACCGTTTAAAGTTACAACGGCACTGAACAAGGGGAACTTATGACTGGTCCACAAAGTTGCAGCGCCCCTGGGTCGCCATTTGTGACCTTCCCTGCTGGCTTCCCATAAGCAAAGTCAATGGGGAAGCTGGCAGGAGGTCCTAAGTCGTTCTGGTAAGTTGCTCCCACCACTTTTTCTCACAAGAAGCCCCCAGGCGTCATGGTGAGTGTGGGCCCAGGGCAGGTGGGCAGCTGCCTGCCCAGCTGCACTTTGTTCAGTTGTTAAGTCGTGTCCGACTCTTCGTGACCCCATGAACCATATCGCGCCAGGCTTTCCTGCCCTTCACTGCCTCCCCAGGTTTGCTCAGTTTCATGCTCACCAGCTACACTTACACCAGGCCATAGCACCCACCCCCTGGCCACCCACACTCACACCATGCTGCAGCATCCACCTGTGTGCCCACCCGCACTTGTGCCAGGCTACATTCACCCATCCATCAGCCTCCTTGAGAGCCACCTAAGGAAACACTTGTTGTGACCAGGATGTGCAACCTTCTGCTGGCTTCCCCATTGACTTTGCTTGTTGGAAGTCAGCAGGAGGTCACAAGTTGTGGTCACATGAGGTCCTCACTGAATGACCTGTGATCCTCGCTTAACAATGGCAAGGGGGACTGCTGGGATTGCTGTTGCTAAGTGATGCAGTCAGGTGACATCGCATTTTGCAACTGCATCACTTAGTAATGGAAATTCCAGTCCCAATTACCGTCATAACCCGAGGACTGCCTGTACTCCTCAGCCAAAAAGATCCACTAATATCAGAGAGAATGATTGTAGTTCATGTCTTATAGTAATTACTATCAGAAGCAGCTATAGCTAGTAACTGAGCCTTACTAGGTAGAGCTGAAATTTTCTATTGTATGGTCTGAAACTATTTATGACAGGCATTAGATCAAAATCTCACGTGGTATAGTGGTTAAGGTACTGGACTACAACTGGGACGAAGATGGTCCTAGTCTACACTCAGTCATGGAAGCTCAAGAGCTGCCTTTGGTCCAAATACCCTTTTTCACCCCTGGAGCCAGCATAGTATAGTGGTTAAGAGGATAGGCTAGGAATAAGGAGACCCAGGTTCAAGTCCACCCTCAGCCAGGGATGTTCACTAAGTGATGTTGGGCCAGTCTTCATCTCTCACCTCAACTTACCCCATAGGGTTGTCATGGGGAAAATGTAAGAGAGCATACCTGGAAGAGATATGAATACATTTTTTCCATTTGGCATCACTTGATAACATGAAAGCACATGGCACAAATACAATCCTGTTCCAATAATATTTTAAAATGTGGACAATAGGAGAGGCCGTCTTAACAAATCTGTAGGGTATTAACAAAGCCTGGGGAAAGTTGAATCGGATACATGCTTTGACATGACCTGGGCTTGCTATATTTGAACCTTGTAACCACTGGATGGCAGCAAAGAGATACAGAAAACTCTTTGCTGCCATCTACTGGTCCCCTGGCACAAATATGGCAATTTTACATGGTCCTGTCTACCATCACTACAGGTGGAACACAAACTTCAGAATCAGTTGGTCATCTGTCCTGTACTTTTCCTCCCTATGAATGCCATCTCCCTTTGCCAAGCCCCCTGGCTAAAACTCTTAAAAAAGAGTTTAAAAAAACTTATTTAAAGCTTTCCAGTCTGATTTTTGGCCTTTCTAAGAGAAAGTTTATCCAATGAAGTGAGATGTTTCATTTATTTTTCTCAATTTTTATCCAAATTATCACATTTACCTTCATGTGAATAATATAGCTATCTAATGCAGAGCTGTGGGACACTTTGCAGTCAATCCCTTAAAGGTGCTTTAGAATGCATGGGTATATAAACACAGCACCTGCCTGCAAAACTTTAAAGCAGCTGCATCTTTTTGTCTTTTGGAGATCAAATCTGAAGTTGTGCAAGACCCTAGTCTAAAGCATCTCCTGCATGAAATCATTAAATTCAATGTCTAAAATTAACTAGTGGCATTACCGGCCTGGTAATCTCCTTCCTACCAGGGCCAGCACTGAAATCTAGAAAGCCCTCATAGTGTAGCTCTAATGACTCCGCCTTGGCTTCCTAGGAGCGCAGCAGGCATGGAAATTGATATGGAAAGCAGAGAATAATTTAGTGCTCTGAAGCCTACACTGAGTTCCAGCGGGAACTTCTGATGAAGATGATGATGGACTTGAGTATTTTCCTCATCATGCCAGGACAGAACAGAAGGATGGGAGCACTGCTGATTTGTGAACATAACTGCCAACATGCTGCAAATTTGTAACACAGTGCAGGAATAGGAAACCCAGAGAGATGCCAGTAGTATGTTCTGTTGCTAGACAGGGACACCAAATGTATAACTCCC